GGGGATCGGGCTGGGCTGAGGGGAGGGTTGGGCGAGGTGGGTGGGGCTGATGAAACAGGCCGGAGTAAGGGAAGGGTCGGGCGAGGCTCTGAGGTTCTCTTGAGGGAGGACATCTGGCTCCTATCCTCCTTGTGGGCCAAACAAGGATGACGGAATAAACTGCAGCCTGCAAGGAAGCTGGGCCTGAAAAGGCACCGAGCATTTAATCAGCGGGTACAAAGGACTCACTGGCCGGCCGGTGGCTGTGGGGTGCAGGATTAGTCCTCCTGGAGCTCAGAGCGTCTGTTTACTAGGCGCTGGGCCGCAGCCCTCCGCGGACCTAGCCCCTCTCCTCCGCAGACCATGCCAGCGTGTGCTTCTGGGCAGAGAGCTGCTTCACCCTGGCGCCCTACACCCAGGTGCACCCCCACAGGCCCAGCCGGCCCCGGCCCGTGATCTTCTTACCCAGGATGGTTGGGAAGATCCTGAGCAGAAAGCTGTGCCTCCTCCAAGGATTTAAGAAGTGCTCGGCAGGTGTGCTCCGCCCTGGGAGGCGTGGGTGTGCACGTGCGTGTACAGGTGTCTGCGTGCTCGTACTGTGAAGGGGCACACGACTCTGCATGTGCACACGTGCCTGTGTGCGTATGTTGGTACGTGTTGGTGTGCGGCACATGCTGTGTGCATGCGTGCAGGGGCCCAGCGAGGCCGGTGGGAAGGGCCTTTCAGAGGCCCCTCTGCCTTCAGGGGAGCAGCATGCAGTTTCCTAGGGCTGCTGTAACAAACGGCCATAGCCTAGGGGGTTTAAAGGACCGAAAGTAGTGTCTCAAGGTTCTGGAGAGCAGACGCGGCCCCCCGGGGTCAAAGGGCCATGCTCTCTGGGGCTCCAGCACAGAGCCTCCCGCCTCTCCCAGTGACCCTTGGCGTCCCTGCACTGGGAGCATCGATCCACCTCAGCCTGGCAGTCGTAGCCTTTTTCCCGCTGGGTCCCGCATCATCACATGGCCCACCCTAATCCAGTATGGCCTCGTCTGGCCTTCTGCAAAGACCCTCTTTGCTTTTTTTTTCTTTTTGGTACCAGGGATCGAACTCGGGACCCTGCTCTTGTGAGGCAGGCGGCGGCCCTAAAGACCCTATTTTCTAGTAAGGCCTCTCCCGAGATCAGGGTGGACACGAATGAGGGGCACTGTTCCACCCAGCACAGTCTCACTGGCGCACAGGCTCACCAGGGAAGCCCCGCAGGAAGGTGTGGCAGTGTCTGCCCAGGAGGAAGGCCTGGTTGGCAGGTGTCAGGTTAGACGTAGGGTGAAGAGGGCCCTGGCCCCCTCTGAACGTCCGCTGAGGAGGGAAGTGAGGTCCAGGAGGTTCCTCATCAGAGCACCTACCACGTGCAGAGGCTCAGTGAGGCAGCTGAAGATGCTAAGTCCAAGAGGCCATGAGGGGCCCACCCGCTCTTTTAGAGGCAGGTGCCTGGAGCCGGGTGAGATGGCACACACCTGCGATCTCAGCACTCTGGGAGGCCAAGGCAGGAGGGTCACACGTTTGAGCTCAGCCTGGGCAACTTAGCAAGACCCTGTCTCAAAATAAAAATAAAATAAAATAAAGGTCTAGGGATACATCTCGGTGTGAAAGCCTTAGGTTCAATAGCCAGTAAGGAAAAAGAGACAGAGGAAGGAGAGGAAGGGGAAGGGGAAAGAAAAGGGGGAGGAAAGAACCAGCTGCCTGAGCACAGATGGGATGAGCTCACACAATCCCAGCATGAGCTGCGAAATGGCCCAGAGAAGGAGCGAAGCAGTCTGGGAGGGGCAAGGACTAAGCTGGGATCAGGCAGACAGGTAGGGCTGGTGAGCAGACGGGGCCGTGCAAAGGCCAGGGTACACAGCGTGAGGGGCCAGAGCAGCTGCGTGGCAGGCCTGGGTGAGGCTGAGGGAGCAGCAGCGGGCCAGGCGTGTGGTTCCCTGTGATGCCGAGGGAGTCAGTGGCTGTTCTGACCGTGAGAATGAACAGTCAGACCTGGTCTACAAGCGCTCATCTTGAAGGGAGCATGAGGGTGGCTGGAAGAAGGGCCCAGCTAGGGATTGGGGGAATGGGGTCTCCCGCTGGAACCCGGAGCCAGCAGAGGCACTGGCACAGCCATCCTGGGAGGAGAGGCAACCCAAGCCCTGTGGCCCCTGGAAGCCCCAGGATCAGTGCTTCCGGGGGGATGAGCAGCCAGGAGGTGCACAGGCCCAGAACCAAGAGACCTATTTAGGAAAAAAGCCCAAGTAGGGGTTCTCCAGCAGGTCTGTTTGGGGCAGGGTCCTCAGTCTCCATGCCAAGATGTCTGAGGTGCGATCTTGCTCAGGCTGTCCTGAGCTGGGGTGTTTGGCTGCATCGCTGGCATCAACCCACTAGATGCCATAGCAGACTCCTCCCAGCCGCCACCATTTATGACAACTGAAGGTCTCCAGATTCTGCCAGGTGTCCCTGGGGGTCAAAACTGCCGCAGATGAAAGCAGTGATTTCAGGGACCCCTGTGGAGCTGGTGTGTGACCACCCACTGTTACTTCCAGAGTACCTGAGCCAGGAGGAATATGACTCCTGGAGCCAGAGAGGGGACATTGTCCAGGAGGGAGAGCCGTGTGGTGGCCACTGCTGGGTGACCCGCCAAGCTGTGGAGTCGCTCATGGAGAAGGTAGGGGATGATGGCCCTGGCTGCTCCGGGGAGAGTAGCTCCTCTGGGCCTGGGGAAGGATTTGGGGAAGAGCGTCTGGGGCCCAGGACACACCAGCGTGGGGCTCAGTGGGAGGGACATGCAAAGTGCAAGCCTTGTTTTTGCCATTTGAGATCCACGCGATCTTGGTCCTTAAGCCTGTTTCCTCAGTCAGATGTTTAGTAAGTATCTACTAAAGAATGAATGGAACAGAGATAGCCACACCCATGTTTAAAGGCTACGAACTGTAGCTTCATGTTACTCACAGTGTGGGGAGCAGATCTAACCCTGGGGAGGGGGACAGGGCTGGAGCTGTCCAATTCCTCCAATTTGTGCTCCTCGCGGTCTACCTCAATCCCACAGGCTTGCAATTCTAGATTTTCATTTCCAGGGGGCTATCAAACAGCTGGAAACCCTTAGGGCCATACAGCAAGCATGCAGGGACAGAGTGGTGATCTCTTCCCCATCTCCTCTACAAGTCCCCTCTCCCAGGCCCTGCTCCGCCTGGCCCACATGGCCCACCTGGCTCTCTGAGGCTGAAGCCCACCAGCTGGGCTCACTCGATCTTCCTTCTCTCCCAAAGAACACCCATGCCCTGCTGGATGTCTGGCTGCACAGTGTCTGCATCCTGCACAGGATGGACATCTTCCCCATCATTGTCCACGTCTCCATCAATGAGAAGACGGCAAAGAGACTCAGGTAGGTGTCCACCAGGGCGGGGCAGCAGGGTTCGGATGGGCACCCGAGCTCTGGTGGAGCCCAGCATGAGCCTCCAGAGTGCACTGAGGGGCTTCTTCCAGAGCCACACTGCTCTTGTCTCTGAAGTGCTGAGGGTACCCTTGCCACAACCGCTGGACAAAGTCCCCCTGCCCTCCCCAGGGCGAGAACCTGCCCCCTGTCCTAACTCCACCAAGGCCACACAATTCCTGGCACTGTCTATCCATGGTGAAGACCCAAAATATTGAAAACTACTCCTGTACTTGGTTTCTGGCTAGGGGCAAGCAAATGTCCTACCACCCCTTATACTCTGGGAAGCAAAGCTCTGTTCTGGACAACCTGCCCCACCAGTGCAATGCCATTTGGAGCTAGGTCCTAGCTTCCTTGTAAGGTCCCTTGAGGTGGTGCCACTGTGTCCCATCCAGGGGTTTGGGGCAGATGCCGATGTGCCTCCAGCCTGGGCTCTGTCCTGGACAGCCAGCCGTGGTGGCTTTCCTGGCCAGCCTGACTTTCTCTGAGGCTGCACCATCTTACTGCACAGGAAGGGCCTGCAGCGGCTCAGTATCTCAGAGGAGCAGCTCCTGGAGGCTGCCAGGCAGGAGGAGGGGGACCTGGACAAAGTGCCCTGCCTGTACAGTAGCCTAGCCCCTGACAGCTGGAGTGACCTGGATGGGCTGCTGAGCTGTGTTCGCCTGGCCATCGCGGACGAGCAGAAGAAGGTGGTGTGGACGGAGCAGAGCCCCTGATGACGATGTCACACCCCTCCTGGGGCTGTGGGACCTCTATGTGCCTGTTAATGCTGCTTTTCCTTTGAGCCAGGCCCTTGGGGCACAGCTGGGGCTGCCCAGCACACAAGCCCAGCTCTTCTCCCCTAGGGGTCTAACCGTGCACCCTCACCCCACGTGGGTCCTGGTGGTCAAGTCCCCGTACTCGCTCACCCTCTGTGTAAGCCATTACCACCCTTTGCCAGGGCTGGGTATGGGCTTCCTGGGGCGCCCTGAGAACATCTCTGTAGTGTGTGTGGGGCGCTTCCCAAGACTTCCCAGACCTCCTGGGACACCTGAACAAGTGCTTGATCTGATTGTGGGGGCTGCTCCTTCCTTTCACATTCAAGGTGTCAAGGGACACCTTCTGAGCCAACTGGAGCTGCTGCCCCGACCCAAAGCAGAGGCACGGAGCTGTACAGCGTGACCCTGGCTGGCTTTTCTCAGTTCCTGATGGCTAAGAGCTGCTTTGGTGCTGCTCAGTCACAGACACCTGTGTGTTCAGTTGTGAACCGAGTCCCTGTGACGGCACAGCAGGCCCACAGGTTTGTGCCTTTCGGCCTCCACACCTGGCTCTGGGGACTGTAAGAACGTCCTGGAGAGCTGGCCCCAGATGCCCCTGACAGGACCAGCAGAGTCTTCCTGGGCTGAGAACTGCAGCCCCCCACCCCGCCCCGCCCCACCGTTGTTGGTGTCCAGCATTTTCACCCTACCTCCAGGGTGTGGAGAAACTCCACCCAGTCCTGGTGAGCATCCCCACCTGCCCTTGACTCCCGCCCACTTAGTGTTGTACACCGAATGCCATTCTGACAGTGTCTGCGTCGGCATGTTATCCTAGAACTCAAGTTGCTACTGTCATAAATGAATTAAGTAAATAAATTTATATTTTACTAAAATAAAAAATTTTACAGTGCTAGAGCCTGTGGCTTCGTCCCCACCCCCAGTATGGAGTTGGTGGGAGAGAAAAGGGATGGAGCAGCCCACTGGAGGAAGACGCCTGCTTTCCAGGTTTCTCCAGGCCGAGCTTCTGTTCTCGTGGCGGTGGAGGCCAGGCAGGTATGGAGCCAGACGCTGGTGTCACACAAGGAACCCCAGCCACAGGAAGTGTACTCTCCCCCCTTATCCTCGGTTACTCTTAGAAGAGATGACTATGGAAGGACACAGGAGCAAACTCGTACTGCTGAGAACCAGTGAGAATCCTGCTGGGGTTCTCCTACGGGGTGGGGCTGATGAGGGGAGGCAGGACAGGCCAGCCCCAGGCAGGTCCAAGACCTGCACAGACCAGGTGGCTAAAGGCCATGTGCCACGGGAAGGCCCAGCCTCCTCTGGGTGAAGGGCTCAGAAACATCTGCCAGTTCTAGACTTGACAGCATCTCAAACCCCCATTCCTGCCCCTCCATCTGCAGATCCCCGCTCCGAAGACGGGCTGGGAGATCTCACCCAGCCCCCTCCCAAGCTTCTGTCTCAGGATACAGCTCAGACAAGAGGCCAGCAGTGCCCCCTATGGTGGCAGTACCTGGCGAGGGCCTGGGGTCCACCTGTGGGTTTCTCCTCCAGGAGAGGCAGGAAGGACACCCCGTACATCAAGACAGACAGGGGTGCGGAGGAGCAGAAGGGGCAGGCAGGTGCCCCAGGGACCGTCACAGCTCATTGTGGAGTGGCCGGCACTGTGGAGAGAGCTTTTCTTCCAGGACGCCATTGGGGGCACACACCCAGGGGTCGTGGGTCTCCCACTGCCACTTGGCCAGGCGGGTCTTCAGCACCTCCAGCACCTCTGCAAAGCGGGGGTCGGCAGCCAGGTTCTGGGTCTCCTGGGGGTCACGGCTGTCATTGTAGAGCTCCCAGCGCTCCCGGTAGTAGTAGTGGTGCAGGTCCTTGTACCAGCCAGTGGGCTGGCCAGCCACGGTGCGGTTCAGGAGGTCCTGAAAGGTGGGTGAGACGTAGAAGTCCTGGTCCACAGGAAATGGCATCCTGAAGCTGAGGTTGTGCACAAGGCGGAAGTTCTGGTGGTACACGGAGCGCATGGGGTAGGACATGGTGACCTCATGGTGGCTCTGGCTGCCGAAGATGGTAGCCCAAGGGGGCTCTGTCTCTAGTGCTGGCAGGAGTGACCGGCCTGTGAGTTGAACAGTCTTTGAGCCAAAGATGGCATACTTGGGGTAAGGGATGGAGAACCAGTCCAAGATGGTAGGCGTGAGGTCTGCAAAGGAAATGTGTCACAGTGAGGGTCCCTGTGGGGCCCTGGAACCTGCTCTGGAAGGGCTGAGTCTAAGCCCCTCACAGCAGGGACTGCTGCTCTGCACTGACCTTCAAAGCTGGTCATCTTGGGGGCCCTGATCTGGTGAGAGGTGGGGTCTTACGAGTTAGTGTCCCAGACAGGGAAGGCCCTACTCACTCTACTGTGGTCACAGTGCTCCCTGGCATGTGGGTGGGGCCAAAGGGAGCTGTGAACCCCAAGCTGGAGGAAACCCACCGGTCTGAGTAGGGCACAGGGTACTTCCGCCAGGGCCACACTCACCCCAGCCTCCCCGTTTCCCAGGCCGGTGGCCTGTCTGCTTGCTGGCAATCAGGTCTAGATAACCCCAGGCCTTCTGGGAGATGTGCAGGATCACAAGGGGCTCTGGGTCCATAGGAAAGCGTGACAGGACAGTGGTCCAGGAGATGGAGTCCCCAGGCCCAAAGCACCAGCACCATCTGGGAACCTGCCAGCCACTCTGCGGGCTGTGGCTCTGGCATTACCAAGTCACCCAGATGGCTCGAATGCTCATCCCTGGGACGGGGGGCTGTCTCCTTGCCCACATGGCAGAAGCACCACTGGAGGTCATGGGTGCAGAGCAGGGCCTGGCACACAGCAGTCCGACCATGCTCCCCTCTGCCCCTCCTGTGTAACAGAACCATACCTAGGAGGCTCACGTAGGCCTCGCTGACCTGGCCCCAGCGTTTCGGGTGCTCTGGGGATGACACCAGCAAGGGCTCAGCGGTCCCCGGCCAGTACAGGTTGGTCCTGCCGCTGGGGAAGGGGATCCCGTTGTCTGATGTGAAGATGACCATTGTGTCATTCAGGACGCCTGCTCCACGCAGCTCCTGCAGCACAAGTCCAATCCCTGCAGAGTGGAGGGGCCACAGGTGGGCTCAGCCACACACACATGAGAGAGGGACTCGGACATGTGTGCCCACTCACTACTGTGTCATCTGGCTGCTGGGCTCTGTCACTTTATGGACCTCAAGACACCAACCCAGGCTGCTCTGTGACCTCGAGCAGGTGGCATGGGTCTCCAGGGACCTGGCCACCCCCCAGTACTGGTCATACCCAGGTAGCCCCAACTACCCCAACCCGGTCTGTGTTTCCTGGAATGTCATGCCTGTCCCGAGCAGAGGATCATCCTGGGCAGGGGCTGAAGATAGGATCTCCTCTACTCCCCGCTTCCCAGGGCTCCCCTAATAAATGGAACCAATAGAAACATGATAGACACCAACCTCCTGCAGGGGGTTAAAGGTGCCCCCCACCAAATGTCCACCTGGAACCTGCAAATGTACCAGTTTGGAAAAAGGGACTTTGCAGAGGTAAGTTAAGGATCTTGGGATGAGATCATCCTGAAGTGTCTAGGTGGCCCCAAGTCCCATGACTGGAGACACAGACAAAAGAGGAAACGACACACAGCAAAGAAGTCATGTGAGGTTGGAGCCAGAGGCTGCAGTGACATGCTGCAAGCCAAGGGACTCCAGAGGCTGCTACCTCCAAAGCTGGGAGAGGCAAGAAAGGCTCCTCCATTCACACTTCCACACTTCCAGCCTCCAGAACTACAACAGGACAAAGGCCTGCTCTTTTAAGTACCACTGTGGGGCGCTCTGTAAAAAACGAACCTCTTAACATGCCTTCTGTGCTCTACATCTGCATAATCTACACAACTCCAAACCCCCAATCTGATCCTGATTTTTTTACTGGAAGAGCACTTGGAGTCTTCACCTAACCCCTGGCCGGCCAAGGAGCAATTCTACAGCAGAGTCCTCCCAGGACTTGTTCTCTGAATGCAACTCTGCTCAACCCAAGGTAGGGCTGTCCACACTGACCCTCTGTTATGGTTTAGATCTAAAACATCTCCCAGTTTCGTGTTCAGAGGGAGGGCTTCTAGAAGGCACTATACTCATCAATGGATCAGTTCACTGATGGGTTCACAGCCGAATGTGCTGATAGGGGGTGGGGCCTAGTGAGAAGATGCAGTTTAAGTGATGGTGTGACCTGGAAGGAAATCTCCTTGACCCTGACTCTTCTCCTCTCTCTGCTTCCTGGCTGCCATGGGATGAGGAGCTGTCCTTTTATTAGGCCTTTCCACCATGTTGTCTCTGCTTTGGAGCCGGCAGACCATGGGCTGATCCCACTGAAAACTATGAATCAAGTAAATCTCTCTTCCCTTACACTGTGGACGTTGGTATTTTGTCCCAGTGATTAAAAAAAACTAATACACCCTTGCTCACAACCTGCTGCTGGTGGGACCGACCTGGGTTCGGCCCAATCTAGCTGAGCACCCGGTCTAGGGTGGGGACAGAAGCCTTGTATAGCCTCACTGCCACTACCTGGAACTCACCTTGGTCCATCCGGCCGATGGTGGTATACTGAGCAGCAAGGTCAGCTCGGGCTGCTGGGGTGTCAGGGACAAAGTAAGGGACCTGGGAACAGCAGGCAGGTGGAAAGTCAGGTTTAGAACAGATAGACTGGGAGGAGGGAAGAGACCCACCCTTGAATCAGGGTAGGAGAAGGAGGTGCCAACCCTGTCCCCTGGGCCTGCCATCATCTTCCTATTGTGAACAGCTTAGCCAGGGCAGCCTACTCTGGATGCTTCACTCTTGAGCCTCCAGGGCTTTCTGTGACCCCACAGAGGGGGATGGGGAGCCATTTAGTTAGGGGGTCTCCTCTAACATGTTAATGTCACAGCATTTGGGCCAAGGCTGTGCTTGGTTTAGGGCTTGGGAAGGGGTGGAGTTGGAAACGAGGCAAAGGTCCCTCCTACCACTACATCCTGAGGGTCGTAGGTCTGGGGCGTCCAATCCGGTATGTGCCCCATGCCACTTTCCCCGTTACCAAACTTCTCACAGAAGGCTCCGTACTGGGGCTGAGAGTGCCCACAGCGGTGCGGGTCATGGAAGGCCACGTAGAGGAAGAAGGGCCTGGACATGGGTGGGGGAGGTGCCAATCAAGGTCCAGATCAGCCAAGCTGACCCTCCTCCCTGACTTAGCTAATGCCTTGGCGTTCTATCCTGAGAAGTCCTCTTTTTCTTCTTGTGGTTATGGGGACTGGACCTAGGCCCTCCACATTGAGCCATAGTCCCAGCCCTTTTAAAACACTTTTAATTTTGAGACAGGTTCTAAGTTGCCCAGGCTGAGCTCAAACCTACATTCCTCCTGCCTCAGCCCTGTAGAGCTGGGATTACAGGCGTGTGCCACCACACCTGGTTTGATGTCCTATTCTTTAGGCAGGAGCACCCTCTCAAGTTGTCTTGTATTTATGAGACAGGGTCTCACTATGTAGTCTACACTGGCCTTGAACTCACTACGTAAGCCAGGCTGGCCCTGAACTCATGGTGATCCTCCTGCCTCAGCCTCCCAGAGCTGGGATTGCAAGTGTGCACCACCATAGCTAGCTCAGTCCTGTTTTGCCTACCTTTGGTATCCCTCTTTCCTCACAAGACTAACTTGGGTACCCACAATCTCTCCCTGCTTAAGATGTGCATGGTCGATGGCCGTGGGGAGGGTACTAGGCAGGGGCATCCTGTACCTGCTGTCCTGAGTCTGCAGGAATTTGCGGACGAGCAGCTTAATTCTGGTGATGTTCCTCCCCACCTGGAGCACAGAGCCGTTCTCCTCCGTGTAGGCAAAGTCAAATGGGTACACAGCCTCTGGCCCCACATGCTTCTTCCCGATGATGCCTGGCGGTGGGCGGGGGAGGCATCCAGATTTTGCCCTGCCCCTTCTCCACCCCTAAATCCTAACTGTGCTGGGGCTGCCCCTCCCCTGGCTCTTGGCTCCTGAGAAGGCTCAGGCAAGCCAGGTGCACCCAGCCCAGGTCCTGGGGACAAGCGTAGTGGGATAAGGGCGGCCCAAAACCAATCTGCAGGGGCCCCTCACCTGTGCGAACGCCGGCCCGGCCGAGCAGCAGCGGCAGGCTCTGCACCTTGTCGAAGGAGTTGAAGTGGTGCACATCCTGGTGCAGCCCATACATGCCGTTCTGGTGCTGCGGGTGGGCGAGGGCTCCGTGAGGCTGGGCGGAACTCCCTCCCTCCCGCCCACCTGGTGCCCATCAGCCACATGGGTCCCTCCCAGCACAGCAGGACAGGAGCAGAAGAGACAGAGCCTGCGGATGTGCTGCAGCCAGGTGGGTGGCTTTTATTTTCTTCTCCAGGAGCATCTGTACCTCTTGACTTTTCCATCACAACCACACATTGTACAGTGAAAAGGATAGCAATTTGCTACTTTCATTTCCTAGTTATTTTATATGCTTAAGGAAACCCTCATACATGTTAGAACTCAAAGGGAAAAGCCGCTTCCCAATTTTGCAGCCCACTGCCCGGAAATGGCTGCTCCACAGGCACTTGCTGCTCAGCCCCAGCCCCTCAGGGAGTCTCTCTGAGAGAGCGCACTTCTTAGGGTAAAAGACAAAAGCAAGTGTTCTGCGCAGCCACATTCCCAGCAGTCCTATTCACGATGGCCAAAGGCCACAGTAGCCCAAGTGGGCACCACAGATGGACACAGAAGCAAAGTGTGGCTGGTCCCTGTGATGGGATGCGATTTAGCTATCAAGAGGGAATTCCAAGTCCTGCTACAATGTGAATGGACCTTGAGGACGCGATGTTCAGCGGAATGACCAATCACAAAGGGGAAAATGCTGTCTCATTCTGCTACGGGTCCCCAGAGTTGTCAAATTCAGAGACAGAGTAGAATGAGGGATGCCAGGGGCCGGGAGAGGAGGAATTAGTGCTTAGAGGACAGAGTATCAGTTTGGGAAGATGAAAAGGTTCTGGAGGTGGACACACAACAATATAAATGCACTTAATACCACTGACTGCACATTTAAAAAGGGCTAAGATGGCACATTGTGTAATGAGTATTTCATCATAGTGCAAAGAGCAAGTGCCTTAACAGAGCAGCTCTCACCGCCCAGGAGTGTCCACTGTGCTATGGGCTTCATGCACAAGCCATGCTCAGCCAACCCTATAACGGTAACATCTTACCGTGCCCACCATTTTACAGTGAGGAAACTGAGGCACAGAGAGAGAAGCTGGAGAAGCAGTAGAACCAGCTGTGCTGATGCATGGGGAGGTGGGCCCCAGTCTGCACTTGATATCACTGTCCCGGGCCTGCCCTGGGGATGGGAGGTGGGGTGGGCAGCAACCCTGGGGAGGGGGATGCTGGGCCCTCTCCCATGCCTTCTGCCCCGCCCCGGCCTATCTCACCTGGGGCAGGCCGGTGAGCAGACTGGCTCGGCTGGGGGAGCAGCTGCTGACGGAGGTGAAGGCATTGCGGAAGATGAGGCTGCGGCATGCCAGGGCGTCCAGGTGAGGGGTGGCGATGACGCTGTTGTTGTACACGCCGCTCTCAAAGCCTCCGTCGTCCGCTGCGGAGGGCAGAAACAGACAGGATTCGGTGGGCTAGCGTCAGGAGGAACGGCCTGTGGGTGAGACCTGGGGTCCTGCTGCAAAGGCTTGGGCCAGTGACACCCAGGAGACCAAGGTATGGGGCAGGCCTGAGCCCTGAGTGGGTGAGACTCCAGGCAGTGTGACAATGAGGGCACAGGAGCAGGCCAGTGCAACACCCAGCACACAGAATACTCAGGCAGCCATGATACCCAAGCGGGCATACCTAACAGGCATGACACATGGGTATGTTACCAGGCAGACATGATACCCAGCCACCGTGGTACCCGCACTTAACAGGCAGGCATGGTACGCTGGGGGCATGGTACTCCAGCAGGCATGCTACCTAGGGTACATGACACGCCAACAAGCCTGAGGGCCATGCAGGCATGCTACCTAGCATGCACGATACCCCAGCGTGTCAGCACGTGGGCGTTAACCTGGTGCACAGTGGGCAATCCTGGGCTCTGCAGGAACTGCCCAAGCAGTGGCCAGGAGAGCAGTGCCCAGAGCAGTCTGAGGATCTGCAGGTGCGCGGCCCACCACAGCCTCTCACTAACACACAGTCCCTTCCCCAGGGACCGAGGACCTTCTAGATTGTGTAGCTCAACCCCTCACCCTGCACAGAGCAACAAAGCCCAGAGAGGTGGGGTGCACTGCCTGAGGCCACACGGCTAGGGAGCAGGGTGCAGGGACAGGGCTCCTGGCTCTACAACCACAGCAAGCTTCTTCCTCCTGCTCTGGAGCTGAGGATGTCAGGGGTACCCCAGAAGGCGCCGGAGAGGACCCTAGGGCCAAATGACACTTCCCCACCTGGCTTAGAGGCAGTGCCGTGAATTGACAGAGCACTTCCTCTACCCTCCTGACCCAATGGGCATGAGCTGATGGCCACCAAGCAGGCTGGGAGGGGGAAGCTAGGGCCATACCCTTTGGCGGGGCGGCGGGGGGGGGGGGGGGGTTCCACCGCAGCCCCGGAGGAACACTGCCCTGCACAAACATGATCAGGAGTCTTAGCTTGGGAAAGATCCTGCTACATACTGAAGTCTGTCCATCCCAGATTCCTAGGCTGAAGCCTTAGCTCCAGTGTGACAGTATCTGTTAGTGGGGGGGTGGGACTCTGTGTGTGCGTGTGTTTGTTGGGGTGGTGTTGACAGTACAGGAGTCTATACTGTCCAGTACAAGAGATGGAACCCAACCCAAGGCTGAGAACATGCTACCCAAGCACTCTACCACTGAGCTATATTCCCAGCCCTTTTAAATTATATTTTGAGGGCCGGGGATTTAGCTCAGTGGTTTCGCCGCCTGCTGCGCAAGCACAAGGAGCCGAGTTCGATCCCCGGTACCAAAAAGTAAATAAATAAATAAAAATTATATTTTGAGATAGGATCTCGTTACGTGGTCCAGGGTTGCCCTCAAACTTGCAATCCTCCGGCCTCAGCCTCCCAAGTGGCAGGGATTGCAGGTGCCTGGTTTGTTGATGAGGACTTTAATGAAAGTTAAATGAAATCTGTCATCAGGGTGGCTTGCAACCTAATAGGACTGTGGCCTTCCCCTGCCCCGTGTGGACAAGTGAGAAGGAGGCCCTCTCCAAGCCGGGAGGAGGGCCCTTACCGCGCTGCCACCTGACCCTGGACTTTTAGCTTCCAGAAGTGAGAGAAAAGAATTGCTGTGTGTAGGACAGCTGGCCTGTGGTACTCTGTTCCCAAGCTAAGGCAGCACCTAAGCTGGGGTGCATGTTCTGGGCTCTGGAAGGCCCGGTCCTAGTAGCAGTCCCAGCAGGATGGGGGTCTAGGGGCGGATTTATCAGTGCCTAGGAGGCGCCTGGGAGGGGAGCTGTTTATGTTACAACCAGCTGAAAGCTGCCCAGAGACCGCAAAGTGAATCAGAAAGACTGGGTCTGGCAGGGAGCCAGACCTCAACAGGGTTTGAGCTGTCATGGGCCCTGGTCACCCAAACAGGAAGTCCTGTGAACAGCAGGGCGTTGAGGAACCTGGGGTCTCTGAGGGGGAAGGGGCTGGGGGAGAAGTTGGCGGGTAGTGGGTGTCAGTGCACTTGGGCCACAGCCCTCTGGGGTCTCAAAAGGGAAGGTCAAGCTACAGGGGGGGGAGCCCAGAGTATCCTGGCTGTGTGTCCCAGTCCCCTTGGGGGGAACCTGTGGGTCCATGAGCTCTGCAAAGCCGCTCAGCACGCCACCCTGAGGGTCCACAGGGTGGCCCTGGCTGCTCTGAGGACGGGCAGGGGTGTCGGGTCAGACCAGGGGTGGGCCGAAGTGGGAGCTCTGAGCCAGGCTGACTCCTCCGGGCCCCGCTGCACCCTCTAAGAGGCCGGCACCTAGAGTCTGGGGGCAAAGGGGAGGGGTGGGAGTGGCAGTTGGGCTGGAAGTGTCGAGCACGCTGGGGTCAGCACTGACCGCTGGTGGGGAGGGGCGCGCGGCCTCCTTTCGCTAGAGCGGTGCCCGTGGGAGGGCGGCGGCACTCACCGAGGATCAGCAGCACGTTCCGAGGGCGCGCCCCGCAGAGCCCCAGGAGCAGCAGAAGCGCGCAGCAGACCGGCCTGGGGCGGCGCATGGCGGCCTCCGCTGGGTCAGCAGCTCGAGCTGAGCCCCGCCCCGCCCCCGTCACGCGCGCGCCCGCCCCGCCCCGCCCCGCCCCCGCCCCTCCCCCAGGTTCCTGCAGACCCGGTGGCGGTGGCTCCGGGAGGCTCTAGGAGCTGTGACGCCCGGGGTGAGTCGGCGCCCGGGAAAGGCGGGGAGCTGGGCCCGGGCAGGGGCGGCGGATGCGGGACCAGCGCAGGATCCGAGGCCCAGCCCTACGGTGAGGCCCCTCCGTACCGCGTCCCATTCCAGGTACCCGCGACCCTCGACCTCGCTCGGGGCAGCTGGCCCGCGCGCAGTCAGCCGGCGTGGGTCCTCGCCCTGGACCCCTGGCTGGGGGTCTGGCGGCATCGTGGGGTAGGGAGGAGGGGTTTTGTTCAAAGGGGTGCAGCGGGGCTGGGTGGGGGTCTGCAGTCCGCTCTGTGCGCAGGACAGAGGGCCAAGACTCAGAGGATGCTGCGCACCCAGAATTAATGGTAGAATCCTGGCGCTCTCCAGCACTTAAGTGTAGTCCCCGGTGCCCCTCTAGGCTGCAAATGCCAGAGATGGGGGCCTGGGTAAAGTGTGATGTCAGACCCCCACCCTTCAGCACCACGTGTCCGCCGTAGTGGGTGGAGCTGGGGGTGGGTCGCACCTGAAGATCTCGGAACCCGAGGGCGTCCAGCCGTCTAGGCTGGGGGAAGGGGATGGGTGCCCGGGAACCCTGCTTCTCCCAGCAGCTTGTTCCGTTAAGTTCCCTGGAGAGGGAAAAAAGAAAGATTCTGCCAGGAGGAGAGATTCTTTAGGATTCTAATGAGGAAGTAGTTTGTCTGGTTTTTACCTGTGAAAACTGTTGGAAGAAGAGGCACCAGGATTTGAGCAGGTGGGATCCAGGGCAGCGAATGAGGGGACGGGGGGGGGGGCTTCTTGCCCCCTTTGCAGAGGTCACGGGCTTCTTCTCCAAGACCAGCTGGGGAACTTAGCAGACCTCCCTCAGTGCCTGCTCTTGATGTGGGTGGATCCCACCTGGCATTGCTGGGCCTCTGACTGCTGCTGTTTCCCGCCCCACAGCCCCACCCTAGTGATGTCCTCTCCGGTGGATGCCCTGGGTCAGGCCAGTTCCCCCGGCTGCAACATGGCCCTCAGCACCTGCTGCTCCTTCTCAGCCTGGCAGAGGAGGCTGCCCTTCCTGGCGTGGCTGCCTGCGTACTCACTGCAGTGGCTGAAGATGGACTGCATTGCGGGCCTCTCGGTTGGCCTCACCGTCATTCCCCAGGCGCTAGCCTATGCAGAAGTGGCTGGGCTGCCTCCCCAGGTGAGCTGTCTGACCCCACTGCCAGGCACACCCCTGTCCTGTGGCCTGAGGCCAGCCAGGGGCAGAACAGGAAGACTTAGTATGGGGTTCAGACACCTCATACCTGCTACCCCAGGGGCCCAGGGAACACTTGATCTGTAATCTGCAACGTGTGACTGCCTTCAGGCATTGAGCTGATTGTGTGGTCTAGAAGGATGACTCATGGTGACCTTAGGCACACTTCCTGGGACTCGAAGACATAAGTACACCAGCCTTTGAGGCACCCCCCACCACCTCACTTCAGCTGGTCCTCAGCACCCTGAGGCCCCTCTTGGTGCTGGTAGAAAAAGAGCCCCCCGTTCACTGCAGGTTCACCATGGTGGCCAGTGGAGGGTAGGTGGTTGGCCCTGCCTGTGTGTGCCAGGGTGTGCCAAGTACACAGTTGACACCCACGTGTCCCCTGGACGCCAGGCATGTGGGTGGACTGGCCTGGGGCCTGCTGGTACTTACTGCTGTCTCTCCCTGACAGTACGGCCTCTACTCTGCCTTCATGGGATGCTTTGTGTATTTCTTCCTGGGCACCTCCCGGGACTTGACTCTGGGCCCCACGGCCATCATGTCCCTCCTGGTGTCCTTCTACACCTTCCACGAGCCTGCCTATGCTGTGCTGCTGGCCTTCCTGTCAGGCTGCATCCAGCTAGCCATGGGGTTCCTGCGTTTGGGTAAGAGCCTGTCTTCCTCAGTGGGTGGAGAGGCTTCAGTTCTGCTTTTCCTGGGGTACCAAGGCCCCCCAGGATGCCCTTGACCTTCTCATTTCCCCCTCTCCAGTGCAAGGCCATCTGTGGGGGGGGGGTCCTCCGTCTCAGGCTGTTGGACTCTGCAGAGAGGCCAGCATACTGGGAGAACTGCCAGGGCCGCAGACCCTAAAAACAGTCCAGATGGGGTATGTCACCCCTCAGCCCTGAGCTGCTCTCCAGTCCTACCCATGCCCCTCTGCCAGCCTACATCCACCCTGTCCTCTGGAACCCGAGGGAACTGGGGCCACTCTCCATTCCCTTTTGGCTGCCAGGGCTCCTGCTGGACTTCATCTCCTGTCCTGTCATTAAGGGCTTCACCTCTGCTGCTGCCATCACCATCGGCTTCGGACAGATCAAGGTAGGCACAGTGCCCACGAGGGCTCTGCCCTCTGACCGATGCCAGGTGGTGCAGGGGTGCCTGGGAGCAGGACCAAAGCCAGTTCTGCAGTTTGTGGCCAGGAAACACCTTGCTGCTTGGGATTTGTCTCTGGTCTGTCAGTGCTCTCATGGGTCCTCCCTTCCTGGGGGAGAGGTTGTGTGATGGTTAATTTTACAACAGATAAATTGGGGGCCCATAACTTCACCCCTCGGCTCATGCCTGAGCTTTTGTGCCAGGCTGGTTGGTTGGCTTCACGGGGTGTTTCTGTTCTGCCTTTCACACATTTACCAGCAAAACTTGCAGGTCATGGACTGACACTAAGGTTTCCACCAGCACTTCCCCATGCTAATTTATCTAGATGGCTTTTTGTGGTTTCTTCTAGTTTCTATTTAATATCATTTAAATACCAAGATTTTAAGTTTTGTGTAAAATAGCTATGAGAAGCACTAGAATCTGTAATCACCAGTTACCCCAGGATGTAACTTACGGCTGCTCATGTCCCTGGGTCTTTCTTACATCCCTTGTGGCAGGATTGACCGCGGTACCCGCTGCTGTGTGTGGTGTAAGGTGGGTGAGCGCCCAGCTGGGTGTCTACAGAATGGAACTGAACTCAGTTCTGTAGACGGGGTCCCTGGTAGGGACTCAGGGCCACAGCCCTGGCTCGTGACCTCATGTCTTGTCTGCTCCAGTGTAGGCCGAGCAAGAGAATCAAGGATGGGAGACTGAATAAGTAGCTGACTGTTCTGCACCCTGTGTGCTAGGCCCTTGGTTACAATTTCCACGTCCTTAATTCTTTTTTTTTTTTTTCTTAAATTCTTTTATTGGTACATTTTAGGTATACAACGCATTTACAGTTCTCACTGGGAACTTGCACCTTTACATGATGCATCTTGGTTCTTATTTTTTCCCCTTCCCCTGCCCTCCCTTCACCCCCTCCAGCCTCCCCTATTTACAAAGACTTTATTTCCATTTTTTCCATTTCTCATCATTTTTCCTTTCCCTTCTTTCCTTTTCCCTGCCCTTCTCACTACCCCGACCCCTTTGGACCTTTTCTTCCTATTTTACATTATTGATTATTCATTGTAATCATTGGTACATTTTAGGCATACAATATAATGACATTCATCATTGGAAATCTGCACCTTTACATAATCTCTCTTGGTTCTTATTTTTCCCCTTACCCCTGCCCTCCCTTCAACCTCTCCATCCCTCCCTATTTACAAAGACTTTGTTTCCATTTTTTCATTTTCTCATGTTAATTCCATTCCCTTCTATCCTTTCCCCTACCCCTCCCACTTCCCCTTCCCCTTTGCCCCTTTTCTTCCTATTTCACATTATCTGTTATACCTTTTAGTCCTTATTTACACTTTCAGTTTCTCACACTAGAGAAACTATTCGGTATTTACACATGTGTGTCCTGTTTATTTCACTTAAGGGTATCGCCTCAATGTGCATCCATTTAGCTATAAATGTCTCCAGTTTCTCATTCTTTATGGCTGAGTAGTACTCCATTTTATAAAAAAAATCACATTTTCTTTATTCAGTCTCCATTTGATGGGCATTTGGGCTGTTTCCAAGCTTTAGCTATTACAAACTGTGCCGCTATGAACATGGGTGCACATATATCGCTGTGGTAAGATTCTTTTAATTTTTTGGGAAGATCCCCAGCTGGGGAATAGTGGGGCCAAATGGGACTTCCAGTCCTAGTTCTTTGAGGTATCTCCACACTGATTTACCACGTCCTTAATTCTTACCACACCTCCACGAGGTGGGTTTATCATCCATTTTAGAGTGGAGAGAACACACAAGGTGTGGGAGTGTGTGATTTGTACATTATCTACACACATGGCAGGGCATGCTTGGCAAATGTGGCTTGTCTATATTCAGGAAACATTTTAGTATCAAGAATGCTTTTTTGTTTTGTCTGTTCTTTCTCTGATGCTGGGAATTGAAAAATGTTCTCTTTTTTTTCTTTTTTTCTGTGGCACTGAGGGTTGAAGCCAGGTCTTTTGCACTGAGCTACATGTCCAGACCTTTTTTTTTTGAGGCAAGGTCTAATTAATTCACTATGTTGTCCCAGTTGGGTTCAGACTTTGGATCCTCTTGCCGCAGCCTCCCAGAGTGCTGGGATTATAGGTTGGGGCCACCACACCCAGCTCTCTTTCATATGATCCTAACACCAGTGGAGGGCGCCTTCTCATTCCTGCTCAGTAACACTAACCCTACCCCCAGGTTTGAAAAGCTTTGATTAGGTCATGATGCTTGGCAGTCTGACGTGCCCAGGATGTAAGCCCCCCAGCCCAGATTCCTTCAGTGTCCACCTGCCCCATGCCCCACCGCAGTGTTTGCAGCAGTTTTGGGGCAGGAGTGTCCTGGGGTGTCCAGGTCTGTCCACTTCCTGTACACCCTGCTGGGTCTCAAGCAGGACAAAGAGCTAAAGCCAGGAATGAAGCCCCTTTTCCCTCCTGAAGACCCCGAGGGTTACAGTCACTGTAGGAGGCCCTGAGGTGGCTGGGACCCCCACCCTTACCAGGGAGCCCCGAGGAGCAGCCCATTCTCCGTCTTGGCCTGGCATGATTTTTCCTTCCAGCAGGGGGCAGTGCCGGGAATGACAGGCCCCTCGGGCCAGTGGTGGCCAAAGGGAGGTGAGGGGAGGTGTGGCAGAGGGCCCCAGACCGCTCAGCTGTTGAACCAGTTTCCTGCTTTGGAGTGGCCTAAACTAGTTTTTCATTCAAAATGTGCCACTGACCCAAACACAAGGTGCTGCCTTCCCCAAGATAATTGTGTCCTGCCTGGGGTCAGGTGGCCCCCTGGGAGCCCAGAGACAGTCCTGGTCTAGGCACCCAGGTGGGGTCCTTCTCAGGCAAAAGGGAGGGGTGAGGTGGGGGCAGAGTGGAGGGAGGGACACCCCACCACTAGCCATGGGCAGGTTCTGAAAGATTCCATTTGAACAGAACCTGCTAGGCCTGCAGAACATCCCCAGGCAGTTCTTCCTGCAAGTGTATCACACCTTCCTCAACATCGGGGAGACCAGGTATTCTGTTGGCTTCTTTCTTTCCCCAGATGACGATGCTCTTCCTTCCCGGGCCCCTCCCCACCCCTACCTCTGTCTCCACTCCCGGTGGAGGCTTTGCTGATCACTCCGGTCCCCAGAGCAGTGCTGTCACATCACCTGGCAGGGGTTAGACAGGCAGACCTGCTGAGTTAGGGGGGCATTGTATAGGAGCCCTGGGGGGTCTGAGGATCCTCACCATGCTCTCGGGGCCGGTAGGAAAGGAGCCAGGGCAGGCGTCTCCACTTCCAGGGTCTTCATGTGGCGATGCCGTGACATAGGCCCAGAGAGCAGATGCACAGAACTTGGCTGCCCAGCCTTGGTGAGGGATGGAGAGATGAGTGCTTCCTCTGAGGGTTTAAGTCTCTCTCTTGAGGGGTCCCTCCCTCCTAGACCAGCCGGTGGAAAGCCAGGATATGCCCTATGCTCCTGCTGGGACCAGAGGAGGGATTTGAGGGAAGTGGGTGGTGGCCTAGGGAGTGGGCCAGGTCCTGGACCTCGCCTCTCCTCTGATCGGCTGCTGCCTTATCCCAGGGCCTGCCGCCTGGGCTCCCTGGCTCTTGAGCAGGGGTCAGCCTTCCAGGGGCAGTGGAAGTGGAGGCTGCCCAGAGGGTGACACACCTGAAAACATGGGCATTCCACTGTCATTGTGAAGGGGACTCCCCGGCTCCTAATCTGGTTCAGGGCTAGGCCCTTACTGAGACATGAACATAGTTTTGAAACCCGCCACGGCCATGAATTATTTAGAAGACAGAAGGGCAGTGAGAGAGAGAGTCCCAGCAGAAGGTCTCTTGGCTGCCTGGCTGGGTGGTGACCCATCCTCTGCCTGCAGGCTGGGGGACGCCGTGCTGGGGCTGGTCTGCATGGTGCTGCTGCTCGCGCTGAAGCTGATGCGGGACCACATGCCCCCTGCCCACCCTGAGATGCCCCCTGGCGTGCAGCTCAGCCGTGGGCTGGTGTGGACTTCCACCACGGGTAAGGAGAGGCTCCTGGTTGATGAACCTGGGCTGCACCTGGGGGTCACTCGAGGAGCCCTCGGTCCCACCTCCCAGAGATTGTTTGGCCTGGGAGTTACTTGGGCATTGGGATGCTAGAAACTCATGAGTGGTTTGCTGTTGTTTTTGTTTTGTTTTGGTGGTACCAGGGATTGAAGGTAGGATCTCCCACTGAGCTACAGCCCCAGCCCTTTTTTATTTTTTATTTTGAGACAGGCTTTCACTAAGTCATTAAGTTGCTGAGGCTCCAACTTGGGATCCTCCTGCCTCAGCCTCCCAGAGTGCTGGGATTACAGGTGTGCACCACCCGGCCTGGCTCCTAGATGGTTCTGATCTTTCTCCAGCACTGGGAACACTCATCTGCAGCAGAGGTTAGGTGCTCAGGCAGAGGTGACTTTGCCCCGGTGGACACCATCTGGGGAGGCTGTTGCTGGCATCTAGTGGGTAGAGGCCAGGGATGCCCGAGTGTCCTGCGGCCCTCAGCCTCCTGCAGTGGAGTCAGCTGACCCCACACATTGGTAGCGCCCAGGTTTGAAGAACTCCATCTACAGGGTTGCTGGGGGAGAAAGCAAATTCCACAGGGCTAGGAGGCGGTGTTCAAACTGTGCACTTGCTGGGAGGGAAGGGTTGGCTGTAGGCGTGGGGTATGCGGGTCGTGTTCATGGCAGGTACAGGGGAGAGGCTGCGGCGAGCTGAGGGCCATCTCCGGGGAGGCTGGGTGCTGGTTGGTGACGCCCACAGAGGAAGGCACGAATAGGAGAGCAGGACGGCAGCATCATCTCTGAACTTTACTGGGAGCGAAAACGACCTGAGCGTGGCCCCGCTGTTGGCGGGGGCGCAGGCAGGAAATCAACAACAGCGAGAGAGAGGAGTGGTTGGGGTTAGCACTTGGGTCATTTCCATCAGCCGAGGCTGGTCCCCAACTCACTGTGGTCACCACCAGGTTCTGTTCTGCAGCCTCAAGGCAGTGGGTGAATGCAAGGAGCTTGGTAGGGAAGGGACGCTGGGGTCGGGTGACGATGTCCCTTCCAGCCTGGGTTTGATCCTGTAGAGTTGCTCCCCGAAGTCTGAGCTTTCATTCAGCATCTGTGAAACAGTGGAAACCACCCAGTTAGTTCTGTGGCTCTCGGGCCCCACCCACTTCCAGGGGATTCCCAGGCACACTGGAGTTGGGCTTAAACGTAGGTGTAGCTGCCAGCTGCCCTCAGACCCCGAGAGTCCCTCAGGGAGTGGTCTTGTGTTTTATGGCAGGATTGGTCAGGAGGAGACCTGAGAGGCTTGGAAAAAACCTGAAGTTTATTCTTACAGATCCTAGAATCCCAAGCCCGCTCACGGAAGACACCGTGCGTGGTCAGGAGGGGGTGCAGTGAGGGAGGCTTAGGCTGCAGCTCCTGTGGTTTCTGTGAGGAAGGCCAGGCTGGGCGTGCCCAGCAGTAGGAGTGACCCTTGGATATCAGTAGGCTTCAGGCTATAGGGGTGGCACCCAGCCCCAGGATGACCCAGGCAGGGGTATTGTGTCCAGCGTGCCTAGGCTGAGTGGAGCAAGGATGGCTCTGGATGAGCCTGCATGCCAGAGACGCGTGGTACGGGCCCTCTGTTATCTCTTAAGAATTGTCTGTGTAGCCCTCGGAAGGGCAGTCTTCCCCCAGTGAGAAAGGTATTTTGTTGTTGCCTACTACTTGGGGCTGAGCCTCATGCATGCTGGCCAAATGCTATACCAGCAAGCTGAACCCTGATGGATTTTTTAAAAATTTATTTTTATTTTATTTTAAAATAGTTGCCTTAAGGCTGCCTTTGAACTTGAAATGCTTCTGCCTCAGCTCCCCCATGGCTGGGATTACAGATCTGCGTCACCACCCCTGGCCAAGGAAGGTTTCTTAGATGCCAAAACACCAGCTGAGTGCAGGGGTACACACTTGTCATCCCAGCTCTGGAGGTGGGAGGAATGCTAGTCTCCGCCCCGGCTACTTTCCTGTGTGTGCCAAGACCGGCTCTCACCTGTGTCCCTCTATCCCAGCTCGAAATGCCCTGGTGGTCTCCTCTGCAGCCCTGGTTGCGTACTCGTTCGAGGTGACTGGATACCAGCCCTTCCTTCTGACTGGGGAGATAGCCAGGGGGCTTCCTCCCCTGCAAGCCCCTCCCTTCTCAGTGACCACGGCCAACGGGACTGTCAGCTTCACCGAGATGGTGCAGGTGAGCGGAGATGGGAGCCGCCAGTGTGGCTGAGGCCGTGGCGCCCCTGGGTCTGGCTCAGGGTCCCCGGTGCTTCTTTCAGTGATGGGAGGTGCCAGCTGGCGAGGGTGGGCTGTCCCTGTGGGGAAGAACCCCAGGTGGGACACGACTCTCCCCCACCCCGTGTTTCTGTCTCGGGCCCTGTGGTCCTCCTACTCTGAACACGGGCATGGGATGCATTTGCAGGTTCTCCGTGGTGTCTTGCTCCTCTCTGACAGGGCGGTGTTTCCTCACCCCATAAGCTTGTGCCCAGTAGCTGCGGTGCCCTTGTCTCCTTTGCATGCACACGTGGGGAAGAGGGCCCTGCTGGACCAGACCTGCCCTTCCCTTCCTTCCCTTCCCTTCCTGAGCGGAGGAGGGCACTCACCGACTCCCCTGTCTCCTCTCTCAGGACATGGGAGCAGGGCTGGCTGTGGTGCCCCTGATGGGGCTGCTGGAGAGCATATCCGTGGCCAAAGCCTTTGGTAAGACGCCTGCCGCCTGCACTGCTTTGCCTCTTGGAGACGCATCCCTAGGCTCACGGCCCAGCTTGGCTTGTTGCTTTCTTGTTCGCGTTTATCTGCTCTCATTTGCAAAATTAGAATTTTTTTCTAAGTATTATATGCTCATGTTTTAAAATACAGTATGTATATATAAGGATCAGTTGGACATCCCTAATGTAAAAATCTAAAATCTAAAACCTTCAGGACCAGTGTGCTAATAAGTTGTACTCAACTGGTAAAGGCTGAAAGATTCTTAACCAGTAAAGTCTGCAGATATTCCAAAATCTAAAGAAATAGAAAACTGGAAACACTTCTGGTTCCAGTTGTTTCAGATAAGGAATGCATACCATGTCCGATAAAATTGGATCTCTAATGGGAAGCCCCATCCCAGTATGCCGGTCAGTGCTCCAGCAGCCTCCTCTGTGTGGACGTAAGAGGTCCTGCTTTGGCTGGGCAGGGTGATGCAGTGGTGCACACACTTGTAATCCCAGCTCCTTGGGAGGCTGAGGCAGGAGGATCAAAAGTGTGTGGCCATCCCGAGCAACTTAGACCCTGTCTCAGAATTTACAAAAGGGCTGGTGATGTAGCTCAGTGCTCGCTGGACTCAGTGTTCAGTACCAAGGGGCTGGGATGAAGGCCCTGCTGTTGCCATTTTCTGGGATATAAATGCTCCCAGTGTGGCTGATTCCAGGCTGACCAAGACATCCGTGGATGTGGAGCTTGAACACAGGGTTGGGATAAGCTGTGTGTTAGGGCCTCTGTGTGTCTGCATCCTGCATGCCTGCAGGTGCTCCTGGTAGATACAGGCAACCTCATTGATCATAGCGACGTGTCACATTAAGAAGCAGTGAGTTAGGGCTGGGGATGTAGCTCAGTGGCGCCATGCCTGCCTGGCAAGCGCCAGGTCCTGAATTCAATTCCCAGTACCGCAAAAAAAAAAGAAAGGCAGTGAGCTGTGGTATCTTTATTTGTACTGTAGTTCGTTTAACTGGAGGTTGTAATTCAGTTTGTTTTAGTTCAGTTTCACAAAATTCCGAAAAATTTAACAGCCTCTGTTCTGTTGGCTCAGCACCTCTGGAGGCTCCGCTCCTCTCCCTTTGGAGGCAGGGAAACAGTTGCCTGCTTAGGTACTTATTTCTGGTTCGGCATCTTGTGGCTTCCTCCTTTGTAAGGGGAGGCTGTTAAATCTGTCACTTGTCCCCCTTTCCCACTGAGGTCAGCTCCACTTCCAGCTCTGGATTATCAGTTTGGATGACATTTACACTGCAGTCTGCAAAGCTGAGTCCTCCTTGCCCATGGGTTGATTCTGGAGGTGAAAGCCCAGTTACCAACAACTCAGCAGTAGAGTGCTTGCCTGGCATGCACAAGGCTCTGGGTTCCATCCCCAGCACCAGAAAAAGAATTCATAAGAACAACTCACAGTATATATTGTCTGGACTCCTTGTCTCGTGTTTCCTGCCAGGATAAATCCCTCTCCAGTAGTCCAGTGCTTTGTCCCTCAACCCATTCAGAGATCCATTCAGAAGGGTTTTCCAGATTCAACAATTGCTCAAAACCATACCACATCTCCATTAGTTCTGTACACAGTGCATGTCTTTCTTGTTCAATTTTTATTTCTCTGATCATCTCTTTTTGTTGTTGCTAGAAGAAACATGGTATCTTCTCCAAATCTGCATCTTACGGTCTTTACTCATCTGTTATGTAGACATGAGTTTGTTTACAGTACTGATTGAACCTTTTGCACTAAGCTACATGCCCAGCCCTTTATTTATTTATCTAGCTAGCTATCTGTTTATTTATTTATTTATTTATTTATTGGTGCCAGGGATTGAACTTGGGACCTTGTGCTTGTGAGGCAGTCGGCAGCACCACTGAACTAAATCCCCAGCCCCATTTTTTATTATGAGACAAGATATTGCTAAGTTGCTCAGGCTTAGCTTAAACTTGCAATCTTCCTGCCCCAGCCCCCCCAAAGCCACTCCCTTTTGAGGCCATTTGACCTCCTGCCTGTCATTCTCTTTAATCTAGGTTTGGTAAACCTTGGCCTGCTGTCTCCTTTACTTCACGCCACTGACCTAAAAATGAATTTTACATCTTTTAAACGGCTGGAAAAAAACTAATGTTTTATGACATGTGGGACATACGCAAGCTTCACAGTTTGCTTGTTAGCAAGTGGATTTGTTGACTACAGCCCTGCTTGTTTGCTTACCTGCTCCGTGGCAGTAGAGCAGAGAACAGTGGCAGGTCCCGTAGCTGCACAGCTGGAGTGTATACTTACCTCTGTCTTAGGCTCGTGCCCTGTGGCTTCCCTGGAAGTCTTGATCCCTCATCCCTGGCTTTCTAGCCATCTCCACTTGAAATCAGAGAAAACAATATAAAGTTGTTGTAGAAAGTACTGAAAGTGCAGAAAAAAAGAAAAGATAAATCACCTTTTCCTGCTCCATCTGACTACTGTTAACATTTTACTTTCTTTCTGCTCTCTGATACACGCATGTGCAGATGGAAAAATGCCTGGGACCAGAAGTGTTCTGGGTTTGGGAGGTTTTCAGATGTTGGAATATTTTTCATAGGCTTTACTGGTTGAGCATTCTAATTCAAAAGAGATCTAAAACTTTCTTCTTTCTTTCTTTCTTTCTTTTTCCGGAACTGGGGATTGAACCTAGGGTCTTCACACTGAGCTACATCCCCACCCTTTTTGGAGACAGTCTCGCTGAATTGCCTAATTGCCCAGGCTGAGCTTGAACTTGTGACCTGCCTCAGCCTCCCAGAGTGAGATTACAGTCATAGGCCACCATGCCCAGCCGCAAAACGTTTTGAAGGTTGGAACTCAGAAAGTTTTGGTTTTGAAATGTTTCAGATTTTGGATTTTTAAATTAGGTGCAGCGTGTGTGTGTGTGTGTGTGTGTGTGTGTGTGTGTGTGTGTGTGTGTGTAGCATATTTAAACACATTTGCAAAGCGTGGATGGACAATGGCATACATAGAAATGTGAACCTCATTTTCATTTCATAGGCATTTCCCTAGCAGTATCGTATGTCCGGTGACAGTGTTTGTGTTGTTCGTTCTCCTTAGCATCTCAAAACAGTTACCGTGTGGATGCCAACCAGGAGCTGCTGGCCATCGGTAAGATTCCTTCCAGGCTGGGTCCCACTGCATCCCACTGGGTTGTGCCAAGTGTAGCAATAGTTGTGATGAGTCAGTGGGCCTCACGGACTCATGCTCAAGTATCCTGAAGGCTCTGTTTACTCCTTAGGCATAGGGAGCTCACAGGTGGTCTGTGTTTCCACTTACTGAGCACCTGTTGTGTGCGACACCCTGAGGGCTGTAGCTCCATGGACCCCTGGAGTGCCCAGCCTCTGGGAAGCAGCTGCAGGGCCAGTGAGCAGGGAGCAGAGGGTGCAGCCAGGCCTGCTCCTGGATATGCTTGTCCCTGCCCAGTGGCCTCCCTGCAGCAGGAGCAGGGGGCTCGGTAAGGACCCACGTGTCCTGGGCTGCCTGCCTATCAGTAGGGCTCCATGCTGGGTTTACAGTTGTGGATTCTTTTATCTTTGCGAGCTGACTTTGCTAGTGTGTTTGGGGACCATGTGTCATGGGCCTGCTCCTGCCTGTGCCTCTCCCAGCCCGTACCATCTCCTTTGACCTGGTGTGGGATTTACGGAGCAGAGGAGATTGTGGTTACTGTGAAGGGCCTGGAACCTTCAGTTCCTCACCTCAGTGGGTCAGCTCGCAAAGCAGAAGTGGGATTGAGGGGCACTCGGTGGAGCCGAGTGGATGGAGTTGTCTTACGGGGACCCCCTTCCTCAGCCACGCCACTTCTGGCAGGTAGATCCCTTCTCTCTGTTATCAAAGAGAGGCATGTTTGAGCCACACGGCGAGGCTGGGTCCAGAATGACTTTATGAGGGCTAAATCAGGCTGGGGCTGTGGTTCAGTGGTGGACTGTTTACCTAGTGCATACGAGGCCATGGGTTCAAACCCCAGCACTGCAAATAAAGCTGGACAGCATCTGGGCAGACACAACAAAGCTCATGGCCTGTTTTCCTTCCTGAAAGAATGCCTGGGGCTTGCCGGGGATTTAGCTGAGTGGTTCCACTGCTTGCTTTGCAAGCAGACGATCCCGAGTTCAATTCCTGGTACCAAAAAAAAAAAAAAAGAATCCCTGGAGCTGATGCAGGCTCCTCATCCTTCCCTCTGTCTCTGCCTGACCTTGCTCGGTTTTCAGTCTCCCTCCTGCTTATCTCTTCAGTCTGTGTGATCTCGCCACTCCCAGTAAATGTCTGTTTTCTCCCCAGGCCTCACCAACACGCTGGGCTCCCTCCTCTCGTCGTACCCGGTGACCGGCAGCTTTGGGCGGTGGGTGTCTACGCCATTCCCTCTCCGCTGCTTGAGCCCCAGGACCCCTCTCCCTTAGCTGGGCTCCTTTGCCCATGTTCCACACATTCTTGTCCATCTCTCTACCACAGTCTGCCCTTTGGTCAGCAGTGACCAAAGCAGGAAGGGGGACTCACCCTGCCCTCCGGGACAGCGTCTGGGTTCTCAGTGCTGCATTTATTTAGATCTAGAAAATTCCCTGCACATGGAAGTGCTTAACAATATGTATTTAAGAAATAAGTGTGGATTTCGCACAGTGTCCTGTCTCTGCCCTGCGTCACTGCCTTGGTCCACCTGCCCTCACCGCCCCAGCCCAGGTCTCCTGGAAGACTGCCCAGTGCTGCGTGCAGGTTGACGACTACCCCTGCTGTGCAGAACTGCAGGATTCACAGTTCTCCCTTGCCTTTCTAGGACAGCTGTGAATGCCCAGTCTGGGGTGTGCACCCCTGCAGGGGGCCTGGTGACCGGTGAGTCCCCACTTTCTCCTAGCCCCACGAAGTGAGAGCGAGAGGCGAGGGGAGCCTCCTGGAGGGCTACACCTGCCGAGTGGGCTGCCAAGGCCACTTTGGCACGTGGCCGTGTCTTCCTGGGATGGCACAGCGAATGGGGCCACCTCACCCCTGAAGGCCCCAGGTGACGCCCTGGCCATCCTCAGGTGCACTGGTGCTGCTGTCCCTGGATTACCTGACTTCGCTCTTCTACTACATTCCCAAGGCCGCACTGGCTGCTGTCATCATCATGGCTGTGGCCCCACTGTTTGACACCAAGATCTTTGGGATGCTGTGGCAGGTTAAGAGTATGTATGTGCCCAGTGTTAAGTGTGTATTAGGAGCACAGTACAAAGACGGATGTGCCCCACAGAGAGAGCAGGGCACGATGTCTGTGGTTGCTGAGGGCATCCTTTGTTCCCCTTCCTACAGCCCAGCAGAGGCCGGAGCTGGGATTATGGTAGTGATCCCTGGGAGCTCCCCCTGCAGGCCAGGAGATGTCCCTGATCCTTGTGTGGGCTGCCAGGAGGGTGGGACTCTGGTCTCCAGAGGGCTGGGTCTGCCCGCACAGGGTCCCTGGAGAAGACCAGCAGGGCTTCTCCGGCCTCACTTCCCCACCATCCTCAGCCTGCTTTTCCCTGGCCCCTTACTCAGGTACCCTGAACCCTCAGTTTCTTTAATGAAACAAATTCCGTTTTTTTTAAATTGAAGAACTATAAGGATTTGTGTAGTTTGGCTCCTTTTACTGTCTCCCCAGTGAGTTACCAACCAAAGGAACGATTGTTTCTCGTGTGCCAGGATCTCTGTGTAGTGTACTCTACGTCTCTCCTTTAGGGGAGCCTCGAGACGTGCTACCCTGCCTGTGTGGAATATAAGAGATACTCCTAAAGGAAACTGAGGCTCAGGGAGGGTGAGATGTGTCTGAATTATGTGTACCTGGGGCTGACCCCAAGGGCATGCACTTTGCCCCCTCCCCCACTACTTCAGCCAAAGAGTCTTGTGTGGTGTCCAAGGGCCACATGATCCCCACCACTCCTTCTCAGGATCTGTCCCTCCTTCCTGGGCCTCCAACAGGCCCCTACTGCTCTCCCTGAGGTTGGGGGCCTGGGACCGAGCCAAGCAGGATCTGTTAGTCTTCTTCCTGTGACCTTGACCTTCCTCTGACTAGCTGCGACTCAGCCGCTGGCCTTGGGTCCCCAGACCAAAGGCTGCTGGGGCTGCTTAGGGTCTGTGATCACTGTTACTCAGCATGTAGGGAGCAGGAGGCCATCCTGCTGCCTGGTAGGGTGCAGTGGGGTTCAGGCAGCCGCAAGCAGGCACTTGGCAGGGACAAGGCGCTCTTCAGCCGAGTCCTCTCCTAGGACTGGACCTGCTGCCCCTCTGCGCGACCTTCCTGCTGTGCTTCTGGGAGGTCCAGTATGGCATCCTGGCAGGGACACTGGTATCCGTTCTGCTCCTCCTGCACTCCGTGGCCAGGCCCAAGATCCAGGTGCTGGTCGGGGAGGCGCGTATGGGCAGGGCCCGGGGCTTTCCCTTGCGACTTGAATTTATGGGTGACTGCGGTCTCTGGGACCGCCAGAGGTGACCCTTTTCCTATTGAAAGCCACAGTGCCTTCCTGCTGTGCTGCTCCACGGGGGCCTCCTGCCGGCCTTCACCCGTCCCCTCCAGTGCCCTGGGCTTGGGTTTTGGCTTTCCTGCTTGGGACAGGCAAAGCCTGGTAGAGGCCGTCCTATTCCCTCACCCTCAGGGTTCACTCGTTCTTCCTCCCCCCAGGTGTCAGAGGGGCCAGTCCTTGTCCTGCAGCCGACCAGTGGCCTGCACTTCCCTGCCACTGAGGCCCTGCGGGACTCCGTACTGAGTCAGGCCCTGGGAGGAGGTATGTGTTGCGCAGTGATGGACCGAGATCAACATGCCTATATCTACTTCCCCTCCACCGTGGCTCTTTGAGGACCCCGAGGCCCAGTCCCTACTTGCCTGGGAGCCACCCCTGCTCTCAGGTCCATGAGGTTTTGAGCATTTGAGCGGCATCCCTTGTGAGCAGGATAGTCCCCAGTGAGGACTCAGCCCCAGAACTGCTCCTCTCTCTGCCTCAGCAAGGGCCACGGTGCCCAGAGCTGACGTTCAAGGAAGGCACGGGGCCCCTTGCTCTTAGGAAGGAAGCAGCTACTGCTCTCACCAAATAGCTCTTGCCTCGGGTGCTGCCACCCTAGCCCTCAGCAGTGGCTTGGCCTGAGGCGCGCCCCTGGCTGGCCTTGCCCTCACGGTGTTGGCCACACAGTAGCACAGCAGCCTGGCCTGTGTCCCCAGCGTCCTCTCCGCGCTCTGCAGTCCTCGAGTGCTCCCACATCTGCAGCATCGACTACACTGTGGTGCTGGGCCTGGGCGAGCTCCTTGAGGACCTCCGCAAGCAGGGGATCTCCCTGGCGTTCGTGGGCCTGCAGGTAGGCAAGCCAGCCCCACCCCGCGAGATGGGTGTCCGCAGCCCTCCCCCTGCCCAGGGCCAGTGATGCCATCCCAAGGACAGATGGCCCTGACCCTCCGTCTGTTGTGACTCTACCTCTGACCTCCTCCTTCCCTGCAAAAAGGGGAGCCGTGGCCCCTGTCCTTAGAGCAGTTCTGCACGTGGTCTCAGTCTCCTTGACCCTCAGGGCCACGCCACACTGCTGACATGCTGTCCTTGGCACTGAAACTTCAGTCTTGGGCAGTCTGGCTCCGTGGCTGGGCTTGTAGCTGTTGCATTCTGTGTAGTTTGCAGAGTGACCCTCTGCAAAGTGGCGGTCTTTAGAGGCTGGTCATATGGAAACCTTCCTCTGGCAGCAGCCCGCTGGAGCCTGCCTCCTTCTCCCTACTACCTGTGTGGGAGGGTGCAACATCTCCCAGAATGCTCAGCACCTCCACCAAGCCTCCTGCCTCTCGTCTGTCAGGAGCAAGCCTCTTGCTCTGGACTGAAGCATGTCTATTCCGCAGGTGCCTGTGCTCCGTGCCCTGCTGGCTGCTGATCTGAAGGGGTTCCAGTACTTTTCCACCCTAGAGGAGGCAGGTGGGCACAGGGGATGGGATCTGCAGGAAAGAAGGGGGTGGGGTGGACAGGACACCTGAGCCTCAAGAGGGCAAGAGGGCCAGGGGTGGAGCTGGAGCCAAAGGGGGTTCAGGCCCAGTGCAGGGCCAGAAGTGAAGCCGAGGCCTTCTTCACCTGGGGATTATTTAGGTGTACATGTTTGAGGGGATGTTTAAACACAAATGAACAGAGAGCTTCAGTGTCCCACCTGCATATCCACCAATCAGGATAACTTGTTTCCGTCACTCCAGAAAGGTCTCTCATGCCCTTACCCCTGTGCCCCAGAGGAGCCAGTGTTCTGATTTCTCCCACCTTGAGTTAGATTTGCGGGTTGTAGGTGGCGGGCAGTTGAACTGAGGGTTTTTGTGTCTGCATTCTGGGCTTGGTCTGTCATCTGAGATGTGGCCGTGTTGCTGCCGGAGGCAGCTGGAGTGGGCCACAGAAGGCTGCGTGGATTGGGGCACACTGTGGGGAGGATCCCTCAGGACTCGTCACCCAGAAAAACAGTGATGAGCCTGGAGCCGAGTGGACCCTCTGCACAGCTCCAGGTGCTGGTTCAGGCAGCCCTCGATGCACTGGGTGCTGGGCCCCAAGTGCCTGCCTCTTTGAGCCTGTTCCCCGAACTGGCCGGTCCTCACACCCATTTTTTCAGTGCTTGTTATTTTGAGGTACACACCTGTAATCTTAGCATTCTGGGAGGGTGAGGCAGGAGGGTTGAAAGTTCAAGTCTAACCGGGGCAATTTAGTAATGCAGCAAGACCGTGTCTCAAAAGAGGACTGTGGATCTAGCTCTGTGTGGAGGTGCTGGGTTCTATCCCCAGTACTGGATAAAACAAAACAAAGCATTATTTTTTGCAGAGAAATACCTGAGGCAAGAGCCAGGCCCTGAGCCCTACAACATCTGTGAAGATTGTGTCCCAGAACACAAGGTGGCCTTGCTGAAGGCCTAGCTGGGCCACACTGGTGGGCAACTGGCATTGTCTCCCAGACGGTGCCTGTCTGTGCATTGAGGCCAGTACTGTCTAATACACTGGCTGCACAGGTGACGCCTGGAAGGACTCTGATGTCCTTTGGGATGCTTGCAGGCACCTCCCTGCTGCCCCCAGGTGTGAACCTTGTTGGGAGTGGTTGGAGAGAGCCTGTCACAGTGCAGGCCAGCCGTGACAAGGGAGAGCCATGGGCTGTGACCCCTGCAGGCAGCATGGGGTGGGGACCTCAGAGATGCGTCTGTCTCTGTGCAGTGGCTGCGCTGTGGCTGGAGAGAAGACCAAGGCGTGCCAAATATCTTCATCTGTTTTAAAACAATTCCCTGTTTTTAAATTTAAAATAATAACTTTGGTGTTTTGTAAAAATAATAAATGCTTATGGTAAAAATTATAAGAAACCATCCCCAGTCCACTTTGATCACCCCAGGCCCCGTCCACTCGAAGTACCTGTCTGTCCTGAACAGGTGAATGTCCAGGGTTTACATAGTTGGAATCACTTCACATAACCTGGCTCTGTAACCCAGGTTTTCATGCAGGCATTTGCTGTGAATTATTTATTGTGATAATAAATGAGATACGTGGTTTTTAATGTTGTTGTACTGTTTTGTTCCAGGTCTGTGTTGTAATTTAATGAGTCCTCTGTTGAGCGTGTGTGGATTGTGGACTGATTTGTGTTCCCCAAAATCCACAGGATGAAGCCCAAATCCCCAGTGTGTCTATTTGGAGATGGAACCATGGGGAGTAATTAACACGTTCAGGACTGGGCCTTAGTTCTTGCGTCTCACTGCCGGGTGGCTTGACCCATCGGTGGTACATACATGACTGTCCCTTCCAGGGGATTTTTATTAATGAAAGCGGTTAATTAGATCCACTTGATGGGATAGTCACATATGTACCACCAGCAGGAACGTACTAAGGAGGGGATCAACTCTTGGAGCAAACCAAGAAACCAAGTAATTAAGAAACCGTGAGGCTTTGGGGGCTGGGCAGTGCTGCAATTTAGAAAAACCTAGGTTCAAATGGTCTTTTTCCATTTATTACCAGAAAATGATGGCTCTCACCTCTAATCCCAGCACTTGGGAGGCTGAGGTAGGAGGATCGCTGTAAATGTGAAGCCAGCTTGGACTACATAGTTCAAGGCCAGTCTGAACTTCATAGCTCAAAAATCTACTTTTGCAGAACAGAATATTGAGCCAAGGGCCTTCACACTGAGCTGTATCCTTTTTTTATTTTGATATTTTATTTTTATTTGAGCCCAAGCTGGGCTGAGACTTGGATCCTTCTGCGTCAGCCTCCCAGAGTGCTGGGATTACAGGTTTCTACCACCAAGCCCAGGTCATTTTTAAAAGCAAAAACCACAAATGGGTCCCAGGACTTGAGAGGCCAAGGCAAGATCACCTCAAGTTCCAGGCCAGCCTGGGCTGCACAGTGAGTTCTTGAAAGACCAAAAAACAAAAGTAAAAACCACAAGTTGGGGTGGGGTAAGATCGATTGCTTGTCAAGAATTTAGGGGCTGGGGATTTAGTTCAGTGGTTTTGGTGCCTGCCTTGAAAGCGCAAGGTCCCGAGTTCGATCCCCGGTACCAAAAAAAAAAGGCCAGCGCCGGGCATAGTAGCACACACGTGCAGCCCCAGCGTTTGGGAGGTTGAAGCAGGAGAACCACCACAAATTCAAGGCCTGCCTGGGCTAAGAGTTCAAAGCTAGCCTGAACTACACAGAGGCACCCTGTCTCAAAAAATCAAACCAAAACAAAACCACAATACAAACCATGAATGAGCAGTTTGGAAAAGAATTAAAGTATGCTAGGTGTGGTGGTGCATGACTGCAATCCCAGGATTTGGAAGGCTGAGACAGGCGGATCACTGAGTTCATAAAAGTAGGTACAAGGGCCGGGGATTTAGCTCAGTGGTTCTGTCCCCTGCCTTGAAAGAGCAAGGACCTGAGTTCAATCCCTGGTACCAAAAAAAAAAAAGATAAAATACTTTTGAGGGCCGGGGATTTAGCTCAGTGGTTTCTTCGCCTGCTGTGCAAGCACAAGGGCCCGAGTTCGATACCCAGTACCAAAAAAAAAAAAAAAAAGAAAAAAAAATATAAATGAAAAATTAAAGAGGCCGGGGATTTAGCTCATTGGTGCCACACCTGGCTCGAAAGCACAAGGTCCCGAGTTCCATCCTTGGTATCACCCCCCCAAAAGTAGGTACACCCTGGTATTGCACTTTTGTCTTGATTTTAACCAAATCTACAAGGTTTAATTTTTCAAAGAACAGTGCATCTATGTATATTTATTACCTTACGTTTAAAATTATAACAATTTTTAAATTAAAAAATAATTTCTTTGCAGTGTGGGTTTTGCAAACAGTGCCTTCTACATGCCAGGCAAGTGTTCTATTACTGAGCTATGCCACTAGCCCCCAAATTTATCTTTTTTTATTTTTTATTTTTTTGGTACCGGGGATTGAACTCTGGACCTTGCGCTTTTGAGGCAGGTGGCAGAACCACTGAGCTAAATCTCTGGCCCTATTTTTTTAAAGTAAAGATAACCAGGCATGGTGGCACATGGATGTAGTCTCAGCACTCAGGAGGCTGAAGCATGAGGATCACTATGAATTCCAGGCCAGCCAGAGCTACATAGTGATACCCTGTCTCAAAAAACCAAAACCAAAAGGTAAAAACAAGAGCCAAGGTATGAGATGCCACCTGAAAAGCTTAGAATTTGACATCAGAAGATGTGGGCTGGGCTCTATCTTCATCTCTGGTCAGCCATGTGAACTCTGGCGTTATCCATGGGGGTCACGTGGGCATGTGGCTGAGCCAGGCCTCACCCATCAACTGCCACACTGCTGAGAGCCGACTTCGAGGCTGCATCACCTCTGTGGGGCCCTGGTAATGCCTGCATCCACATCCCTGGGACCCCCAGTGCCATATGTGACAGGTTGAATTGTGTCTGCCCCCGAAAATCCCCATGTTGAGTTCTAATCCAATACCTCAGAATAGGACTGTATTTGAGGTAGGTTGTTTCGGATGTTAATTAGTTTAATTACAATTAGGTAATGGGAGTAGGGTGAGTCCTAATCCTGTGACTTATGTTCTCATAAAGAGGGGAAATTTGGCCACAGACACATGGAGGATGACATGGGCCAAGGATGTAGCTCAGTGCAGCTCAGTGGCACCGCGCCTGCCTGGCAAGTGCAAGGTCCTGAGTTTGATCCCTGGTACCGGAAAAAAAAAAAGCACATACACACGGAGGATATGTGGCCCTGAAGTTGGAGACCAAGGGACACTTCAACAAGCCAAGGAGGGCGAGAGATCATTAGCAAGCCACCAGGAGTTTGGCCAGAGACCTGGAACAAATCCTCCTTCACAGCCCCGGGGGGGGGGCCCACACTGCCAACTCAGTCAGCTTGGACTTCTTGCTTCTTAAACTCTGGTTTTTGTTTTGTTTTGTTTTTTATCTTTGTTTGTTTTTTGAGATGGGATCTCACTGTGTTGCCCAGGCTTGTTTTAAACTCCTGGGCTCAAGCAATCCTCCTGCCTCAGCCCTCCCAACTCGGGTAGCTGGGAGCAGTGGATGTGCCACTGCTCCCAGCTGAGATAATGTATTTTTGTTGTTTAAACCATCCAGGTCACAATCCTAGCACATCCCTAACCAAGAATTGTTCACCATTTAAGGTATTTTATGACCTCGAGGAACCTCTGTCAGCATCGTCTTTGGCTCAAAAGAGCCAGGTGTGGCACGTGCTTGTAATCCTAGCCCTCTGGGAGGCTGAGGTGGGAGGGTTGTAAGTTTGAGCCCGGCCTGAGGAACTTAGCAAATTAGTGAGAACCTGCCTCAAAATTAAAAAAAAAAATTTAAAAACGAGGAGCCTGTGGATATAGTTCAGCATGGAGGCCCTTCTTACCTACCCTCGGACCTGGTGAGTGGTCTGAAGGAGTAGAACAGGGTTCCGGGGAAGTTTCTTGTGTTTTCTGCCAGGCGCCGTCAGGTAGAATAGGTGTTGGACTTAGTAATCCTTTAGGACAAAAATAACAAAGGGGTACACTTTCCAAAAGAAAAAGTATGCTTTATAGAAATAAAAGAAGAGGAAATGAGCAAATAACCCCAAGGAGGCACTGTGCAGAGAACAGCCAACATGAGAAGCGCAGCACAGAAAAGATGAGCCCAGCCTGGAAATAATAAAGTAAATGCAAACTAAAGTAATTTAATTTAATTACTATTTCCAGCCATCCAATTGTTGACACTTAAAACCCGTGCAGAAGCGTTGCAAGACCACGGGGGCGGGGGGAGGCTAGGAGGGAAGCGGATGGCGCAGGGGCGTCTGGGAGCTGGGGAACCGCCCAGGCCCCGCCCCGCGTGGACGCCGGCCCCCAGCGCGGACCAGGCGTGGGGGCTGTGGGTCTGTTTCCGGCTTTTCAAGCTGGGAAAGTGCCCCAGGGGCAACCTTGAATGTGGGCCTGGAGAAGGCCGGGTTCTTTTCCTTTCCCGTCTTTCATAGTTTTGAAATGTTTACATAAAGCAAGCTTGCTCTCTCCCTTCCTCCCTTCCTCTTTCCTCCTTTCCTTTCTTTTTCTATCAAGGGTTGAACTCAGGGCCTTCATGCTGACCTGCATCTCTGGCCCTTTTAAAAATTGTTTTATTTTGAGACAAGATCTCGCTAAGTAACTAAATTGCCCAGAGTGGGCTCAAGCTTGGGATCCTCTAGCCGCGCCCTCTGGGAAGCCCCTGGCTGAAGCCTGCTCAGTCGGGGGGAGGGCTGGGGAGCCACAGGCTGACTCTTCCGGTACCAGCAAGCCTCGAGCTTTGGCCCACGCGGTGAATCCAGACCCCAGGGACAGGGGAGCTGGGTGGGGCAGAGCTGAGGGGCAGGGCTGGCAGGAAGCAGCGGGGCTTGGGCCCACCTGGGGAGGAAGCTCCGAGGGCACTGGAGGGGCGGGGTGATGGTAGTGGTGGTGGGGAAGGGGCCTTATTTGAAAAACACTTCGGTTTTTTGTGGGACTGGGGAATGGAACCAGAGGTGCCTTAATACTGAGCCAAATTCCCAGAACTTCAAAAAATATTTGATTTGGAGACAGGGTCTGCTGAATTGCCCAGGCTGGCCTCAAACTTGGCGACCCTGCTGCCTCAGCTGCCCGGAGCGCTGGGTTGCAAATGGATTTTTTTTTATGAGTAAAAGTAAAACATCCCTCAGAAAATACATGAAAAATTTAGATAGAACAAATATCACTCATGGGGAAAAGCCATATATATAATTTTCTCTCTTCCTAGCATTTCTATGTAGATGGTATATGGATGTAATCTGTATTCTTTCTTGATTGAACAATACATAATGTAAATAAAATTCCTTCTCAGTGCTGGGGGACAAACCCAAGGCCTCCCGCATACTCGGCAAGTGCTCTACCACTGAGCTGCATCCCCAGCCCTTTTTATTTTGAGACAGGATCTTGTTAAATTCCCCAGGCTGGCCTTGGAGTTGTCCTTGCAACCCTCCTGACTCAGCTTCCAGCTGGGATCATAGGCAGGCCTCACCCTATGCCTGGTTTAACTACAATTCCTGTAAAGAAAAGTTTTAACGATTGGCCAGTTATCATGGA